GGGACTATTATTGGAGGGTGGTGATGGTCTATGGGATTGTAGTTGGAAAATGACGGTGGTCGAAAGGGCCACAGTTAGCAAACGACGTTGGTCGGAGGGACCGTAATTGGCGGGTGACGGACGTCTGAGGGACTGTAGTGGGCAAGTGATGATTATCTGAGGGATCATAGTTGACAGGCGATGGTGATCGGAGGGACTATAGTCGACGGATGACAATGGTTGGAGGGATTGTAGTCAGCGGGTGAAGAAGGTGCTTGGGTAGAACTCTTTGATCATTAAAGCCTTATAACACTCTTCAATCTTGAGCTAATTGAATCCAAGACCCCCCTTTATGTGAGAAATGTGGGTCTATTTATAAATTTTTTTAGAGTTTCATGGCCCATAAATATGGAGTACGGAGAAGCTGACTTAGGGCAAATTCAAAGTGCTCCTTTGAACGACCCATATTGATCCCCTTAATCATAGAGCATTTGTCAAACTTTTATGTGCCCAAATGATGTCAGAATTGAGCAATCATGGGCTCGTTGGATTTGTCTCATCGAGCCGCTCAATTCGACTATAAGCATGTCATATTTATAAGTAATTTAATCATCCAATTAATGCTTTAAATCTTTTAAATATACTTTGGTCTTTTGATTGGACCAAATTATGCTCGGATTAGACCCATTTTGGTATTGTTTTGCTCATCTCATTGAGATATTCAATTTCATTATAAGTTTGCCAAAATTGAAGTTTGGATGATCTTGAAGTTAATTTTAAAAGTTTTCAACTTGGATATGCTTGAGATTCGTGCCCAATTAAAGCGATTTTTGGTGACGCATTAATGCTTGTTGCATACTAGAATATTCACGATGATAGAGAAATATGAAGTTTAACGTCTTAGAATTGTATGAAGATCCAACACACAAGCAGATGTAAGAGATAGCGTAGCGTTCATAAGAGACACTAGAGCTTTTTATGTGGAAACTCCTAAAAAGGGGGAAAACCACGGGGTCTGACCTAGTTTGAATGAATTCACTAGTATTTGCAGTTGGTTACAAATGAGGCCCTTCCTTTGGAGAAGGTCTTGGCTTAATATCACAAATGTATATTATATAGAGCGCATTACATGGTGGGAGTTACAATAATCAACATAGAAATGTTTATTTGGTCGGCAGAACCATAGTCGATAGGATAGAGGTCGAAAAGATCGTGGTAGATAGGAGACCGGGGTTAGAAATATAGTTGTGTGGTGATGGAGGTCGGAAGGACCATAGTAGGCGATGGAGGTCGGAAGGACCATAGTTGGCAGGAAATAAGGATCTGAAAGACCGTAGTTGGCAAAAGATCGGGTCAGAAAGACCGTTGTCTGGTGATGGAGGTTGGAAGGACCATAGTAGGCGACGGAGGTCGGAAGAAGAATAATTTATAAGAGTCAGGGGTTAGAAAGATTGTTGTCTAGCGAGGGAGGTCGAAAGGACTATAGTCGGTAGGAGACCATAGTAGGGAAGAGACTGGGATCAGAAAGACCGTAGTAGTAAGGCAGTACTCTGGTAAAACTCTGGGTGTCAGGTGGTGGCATGACAGAAGTTTGGACCTTAGGTGGTGGTTTGGCAGAAGTCCGAGCCTCAGGTGATGGTCCGACAGAAGTCTGAGCCTCAGGTGGTGGTCCGATAGAAGTCTGAGCCTCAGGTGGTGGTCGGGTAAAATTCTGGGCGTCAGGTGGTAGTCCAGCAGAACTCCGGGCCTCGGGTGGTGGTCCGGCAGAAGTGCGGGTCTCAGGTGGTGGTCCGGCAGAAGTCCGGGTCTCAGGTGGTGGTCCGACGATAGAAGTCCGTGCGATGGTCGAGGATGAGCTAGGAGGCAAAAGTGATATCCGATCTCTCTCTTACTCTCTTGCTTGGAGCCTCCCTTTAAGAGGGAGGAGGGATCTATTTATAGATTTCCTAGAGTGACATGTCCCATAAAATAGAAGGAAAATCAAAGGTAAATTGGGAGTTATTTGGATTGACGGCCGATGTTGAATCCCTTGATCATGGGCCGTTTGATAGGCATTTGAATGTCTTAGTGATATCGGAATTCAATTATCTTGGGCTCATTAGATTCATCTTGTCAAGCCGCTCTATTCGACCATAAGCACATCATGTTTGGAAACCATTTGGTAATATAAATTGTGGCTCGAACCCTCCAACAATGCTTCGGCCCCTTGATTTGGACTCATTTGGGCTCGGATTGAGTCGAATTTGGTGTCGTTGGGTTTGTATTTCTGAGACGTTCAGTTCGACTATAAGTTTATTGAAATCAGAGTTTGGATGAGCCCAATTTTAATTTTAAAAGTTTCCAACTTGATTTTGCCTCGAGATTCGTTCCTGATCAAGATAATTTTTTGAAGACATATCAATACTTAAAATATATTCAAATTCAAAAGTTATGTTATAATGTTAATAAAAAATTTTTAATTTTTTTTTTGTTTCAATTGATTACACATTCTTTCTCCTTTAATTTCTCGTTTTTTTTAATCATCAAATTATAAGAGATGCATGAATTTGAATCATCTTCTCTCTTTCAAAATGAAATTTGTAAAATTATACTCAAGTTGTGCACATTCCAAATAATCAATTAAGCTCAATCCCAAGAAAAGAATAATCGAATTTGACTCGACTCATTTACACTGCTATGAATCTCAATGAGTCAACCTACTCATCTATAATCAAATGAAAATGACTTTATCATATTTTACCTTGTAATGAAAACTTCTTGATTTGTTGCTTAGGAGCTTAGGCTACCAAATTAAAATGTATTGAGTTTGAAACTTGTATATTTTATGTGTGTGAGCTTGTGTTTAATTTCTTAAAAAAAAACAAAAAAAAACAAACTTTACCTTGCAAGATAAACAATAAAAAATAATATTAAAATATCTTAACAAAAAATTAATTTGAATGAGTCTCAAAGCTTATCCATGTCAAAGCTTTATTAAAGATATTCTAATATTTAATATCTTAACAAAAAATTAATTTGAATGAGTCTCAAAGCTTATCCACAATGGTGAAGCCATCATTTTTTTTTTTGTGGGAGTACAAATCATTGATCTTTAGAATACACTTAATTTTTTTTCATTCGGGCTCGAGGCTATTAACGATTTAAAAAAAAAAACAATTATAAGATTTTTAGTTAAAAAAAATTTATAAATTACATTAAGATAATCATCTCATTTGTAACAAATTAATAGTGGCTTTAATGGAATATTTATATGTTGTAGATTATAATACTTACTTCTAAAATTCCTAAAAAAATAAAGAATGATTAGACAAATTAAAAATTTTCTTCTTGAATAAAAAAAAATTGAAATTTGCTTTCCTTGATCTGTTGGTTAGGAGCTTTGTCTTTCAACTAAGAGGTATTCGGTTCGATGCTTGTATATGTGATGTGTGTGTGAATTTGACTTCATTGGCCTAAATGTCCTAAAAATTTCATAGATTAATAGCTGTCCTCTTAGTTATTATGTCATCCTTCAAATAATTAATCTTATATTTTTGAGGCTTGCATATCTCAAAGAGAAGTAAAAAAAGTTGAAGGAAAAAAATTATTTAAAAAAGTATTTGAAAAATGATAAAAATTATAATCGAGCAAAAATCTGATAAGTAATATAGCATTAAAAAATTGTTCGAAATGGACCATTTGATTAAGCTCGAATAATTTTCCCACACGGGGAATTATTGGGTTCGGACAACGAACGCAACTTACCGTCCAGAGACGAATCAGGTGCAGCCATGTTATCCAGTACCGAGTAGAGGGTGATGTGACGCATTTTCATTGGACTTTGGAAGGCGTACGATGTCCGAATGCAATAATTTCCCCACACCTTAGGGCTCGCTTGGGTTAGCATAATTCCAACATTTCCTATTTCAAAACGGCAAAAGTTATATGTGATTAATGTTTTGATGTAATCATGTAATGCTTATATAAAAATAATTTTTCAAGAACATTATTTCTATGTTGATTTTGAAAGTTTTTTTAATACAGCTTTTCAACAGAAACCTCTGTTGTCACCTAATAAAAAAGTTTAAAATGACCGTCCACGTCCGTACGTTCAGTAAGCACGTCTTCCGCTTCCAATATTCTGGCATTGTATGGAGAAACCTTTCCTTCGTGATTTCAGAGTTTCTCTCGGCTTCAGCTTCTTCTTAAGTTTGGAACTTCCCTCACGTCCAGCTTCTTCTTTTTTATCCATCACACCTCTTCCCACTACCTGCTACATGAGTGGCCTTGTCCGTAACTATGAATTGTTGTTGCGTATGGCTTAGGTGGAGTTCTAAAATTGTTGCCAGTCCAACAGCTTTTTTCTTTAAGTCACATGTTAGCTCATCGCGACTTATCTAATTCTCAAATATTATGTGAATTTCAATGGATTCAATTATATTGCTACTTCACATCTAGCTAGATAAAAGTTATTATTCTTCAAATTTTATAAAGATTGAGATGCAGTCAACTTTGTAATATTCTTTGTAATATGATAGAAGAAATATTGCTTAATTTTATTTGCCTAATTTAAGTCTAAGTTTTTTTTAAAAATGGATAAAATACTCACATTATAGTGTGTAACTATAATTATTAATTTCGGATAATGATAATTTAGTCTTTTATTCTGTTTTAAAGCTGAATATATAAATGGCTATTTTTAAAATTCCATTCTACATAAGAAATAATCCAACCAAATGAAGCCTTAATGTTAGGTCAAAATTGATGAATAACCATGAACACGAATGGGCCGAACCGGGTCAATCTGCCTGATTCTTTCCCAGGCCCAGCACGTTTCAAAATCCAAAATCTCACGCGATCAACGAGCAGTCCGATCCGGGTGCCCGATCCCGTATTCCCGTGCCGAAAAACTGACGGGCTTCGTGTCGGCAAATCCTAATTACGCACCCTCGTGGCACATTCTAGCAACCTCAAATCTAGCTGTTCGCTGTTCACCACCACCTCCTTGATAAGACTTCCGGCGCTCCACCACGTGGGTTACCAAACCCTAACCCTAAGAAGCCAGCTCAGCGCAACCTTCCTTTTTTTTCTTTAGGGAATTAATTGCTGAGGCTTCCTTCCGTGCATCCGCAAACCTTTAGGGAATTTGACGTTACCTGTAAATCGATATAGATTTGTCCTCGAAGCAATCTGCTTTCCATCCTCAATTCGGAGGTTATCGATCTGGACTGGTGAGGCTCCTGCGGGCCTTTTGGTTTTGAGGGTTTTGGGACAAGAATTGTTGGATCTTGGAGTTGTCATGGTTGTGGGTGATGGAAGGGAGCGTTAGAGGTGGAATTGGAAATGCGGGCTCGAGCGAAAGCCGGCCGCCGAACCCCCTTGCTGGAGCTAACCGGCAGTGCTTTGCTGGCGTTAACGCTGGCCACACGCCCATCAGTGGGACGCTCGTTCGTCACACATCCCTCGTGAGTTCTCTACCCTCCACCTCGAAACTTTGGTGCTTCTTATCATTGTTGAGGATTTTTGTTTTTTTTTTTAATCCTTATTACTGTTTCATTGCGACCTGTTATTTTGTCTACGTTTTATGCTGTCTCAGTTATAATTTTTTACTTTGCTGGTGTGATTTGAGTAACATGCAGGTTTGTGTTTTTCAACCATTCGGGAGTAATTGATGCCCTGTATATTGTGCCTGTACATGAAATCTTCCGCTTGTTAGCTGAATTTGCATGGTTAATTTTGTTGGATTTACTTGTCAATCACTTTCACTAGCTAGGAAGAGTGCAGAAACAAATCCTTGTTACTTGTATGTTGATTTCTGTGAAAGTTGCCAGGAATTTTGTTGTTCTTATGGTCTTGAATACTTGTAGTAGTAGAAATTCCATGATTAGTTGGCTACTTAAGCCTTCTAGTTGTTATACCTATAGTTTTTTCAAGCTGTTAGTTCCCAGACAACTTATTTTCATTTAGATTCGAGCATGATTGACTAATCTTGTTACAAGTTTATCATGTTTGAAAAGTTGTAGAATTTAGTCAACTATTATAGCTGATGGTAATGCACATCACCCTTTCAGCACTATGCACGTAGGACGAATTTGTACTTGGCATTTCATTTTGTAGTTTGTATTTTCTTAAAACTTCACAATTTACCGTGCTATCTATTATTTCATATCATGAAAATTCCATTTGTGGTATAGGTGGAATTTGAATCTAGAGATATATGATTGAAATAAGCACTGCAACTCTACAAATAAAATTACAGAAGAATTTGCATGTTATAATCCTTTGATAAGTTGTACAAGGTTTGAGAATCATCCAATAGACTAACACCTAAGTTTAGGTCAAAGCCAACATGCAAATATTGGTGTAAATATTTTCTTATTATCTTTTTTGTTGTAAATTTTGTGATTATCTTGGGAGTTGTTATGATTATCATATTGTTGTTGATAATTTTATGAGAAGCAATTACGTTGGGTAACACCCCTTAATAATGAGGTTATGGAAAATAGATAGCTTTGGTTTGAGAAAAGTGTGTTAATTAGTTCCATCGAACTGAAGCTATCCTTGGCTTGATGTTTACTTGATTAATTAATTGAGCTTGATGCTAGTTTAATGAGTTTGAGCAATCTCATGAGTCGGTCCATTTTTTAGGAAAAAGAGAAGATTAATGCAATTCAAGGAGTTGTAGAAATGGAACCATGGACAAAATGGGAGATCGGAGCACGTGGATTGAAAAATAATAAAGGGAATGATGTAATTTAGTAAGTTGAGCTCAAACTAGCCCAGTAGCCACTCAATTACACCCCTTGTTTAGGAAATTGCGTTATAATGTAGAAGATGTACCAATAAGATGATAGAGAAAACTAATATAAAATATTTGGATTTGGAAGGAAAATAGGTAGACCAAATATAACATGGCTTGAAGTGCATATAATGATTTGCTTGGAATATATGTAATTCTTCTAGTAGCGTTCAACATGATTCTATGAGCATGTATTCTTAAAGCTGACCCCAGTTCAATTGCTAATCAATAATGACTTAATCTTTGATTGCATGTCACATATTATTTTAGAGACTAAATGCTTTGGTTTGTAGAGGGATGGGAGCTGTTTCTTGTTTTTGTTACAATATTTTGTATTTTCAATACTTTTTTCCTTGTTTTGAAGAAGTGCTTGGAACTTGTGGAAAATACTATTTGGACTTATAGTGAAAGATAGTCTACTTGTCATCATAGATATAGAATGAACATAAACTAGTTAATAGAAACGTATGAATGGAGCTTTGAGTCTAGAGGCATGCTTGCTTATGGCAGCTTTGGGTGTTATATTAATATCTGAAGAAGTGGTGATGTTTACATTAAATTTATTGGAACTGTTTCCTACGGTTTATAGAACTAGCATTTATTTGGTTGCTTACTCTGTGATGTCTTGAACAACTCACCGTTTTGAGGTTTCGAGTACTATGCATAATTTGATACGAGAGGTGAAGACTATGAAGTATAAGCTTAACATTGAACTAATTAATATTGTGCCAATAACTTTTAAATCATGTTTATGGTAGACTTCTTTAATTTTTGTAGCTCTAAATGCATAGTTATTTTTTATGTTTATTATTTACTTAGTTTCTGTTTTGCAGAAACAAATTTCAAGCATTCCTATTGAGCCGGAAGTTAGTGGGAAAAAATGTGAGAAAGAGTATATACCTATTGTGCGCTCCGGTGCCTATGTTGATATTGGATTTCGGCAGAACATGGAAGATACATATGTTTGTTGTGATAACGTCACTGATGAATATTGCCTTAAGAATACTGGAGATGGACCCAATGCATTTTATGGGGTATTTTTCCATTCAAGCATTTCGTTTAACTTTTTCATGTTATTGAGCTCAACTTGTACATTTTTTTATCTTCTGCTCAAGCTTTTGTTAGTGTTTTCTTTTACTCCCTAAATCCAAGCATATGACTTCCAGGATCTTTGTTATGTACTGATTAGGTTTTAGCTGTTATCCATGATACCAATTCTACAGTTCCACAATCTTATTTTCCTGCAGTGATATCTTTTCTATGGATAAATTATATAGGGTTGCTATTATCTTCCTTTTCGGGATATTCCTAATAAAATTGTTACTGGTTTGAACATATTTGTGGCATTGATATCCTGATTGTTTGCTATTACGAGTGGGTATTTGGATTGTTCCCTGGTTAGTAATAAGGCATTTTTTTTCCATAAATACGATTTTTATTGCTTAAGCTTTATATCAGAAAAAGTGCAGTATGCTATCCTGTTTGCTTAACAAATTGGTTCCTGTATTGGTTTCCATCTAGGTATTTGACGGGCATGGTGGAAAGCATGCTGCTGAATTTGTTTGCAGTAATTTGCTAAGGTTTATCATGGAGGATGAGGATTTTCCAAAACATATTGAAAAAGTGATTACTTCTGCATTTTTGCATGCAGACACTGCATTTGCAGAGGCTTGCAGCGTCGATTCTGCTCTTGCATCTGGTACGACTGCTTTGGCAGCACTTATTGTTGGCAGGTCAGGCTCCCTTCCTCTTGCTAGAGATGATAGAATTGCCAGCCTTCACTTTGTAGACTTTATTTTTTTGCCGGTATTATCTTCTTAGTAGTTATGATTTCCAGATAGTTTCTTTGAGTTTGACATTCTTTCCTTTTTCATGTGGTGTATCTTTTTAATAAATTTTAATTAATATTTAATTTGTAATGGATTATTCTAATTATATATATATAGAGAGAGAGAGAGAGAGAGAGAGAGAGAGAGAGAGAGAGGACCAAAATAGTTCCCAATTATATTAAAGGATCATTTTGGTCTCTCAACTTTTTAAATAGGAATCAAAATAGTCTCATAATAAGACTATTTTGATTCATTTTTAAAAATTTGAGGGACAAAAACGGTCCTTTAATATATTTGGAGATCATTTTGATCCTTCGTAAAGAATCAATCAATCATTTAGGTCATTTTCCTTTTATATATATATCTGCATTGGTATGGACCCGAAGAATTTGATTTGAGGCCTCTGATGCTGATGAGCTATAACCTATTCTAGATGGTTGAAAGGGGATTTAGTGGTGGTTATGTTTCCAAAATTCTGAAATTTATACTTTTTGACCGTGCAAAATTTTATGGAGATTTGCCTACAACAAATAACACTAATTGATAATCTGACCCATTTTAAGGGTATAACTAATATTGGTTATTTTACTTCATTTTTAAAATATTTTTGGCTGAATAATAATATAATCTTGATTCCAGAGATGTCACCCAATCACCTTGTGTTTGTTGGCTGTATATTTTAAATTATTTTATTAGTTGGGAGATTTCAGTTTGATTCCTGCAGATTGTGGTGCGGCTCATTTTTTTATTTCGTGGAGCCCATCTTTTACTCATGATAAATACAGAATTTAGAAAAGGTGGTTTGAATAAGAAATATTTTTTATATTAATTATCTGGTTGGATGATTTATAGTCAAATATTTGTTATATTTTTCCTTTGTAATAGATTAGATTCAAAATAAAATTTACCCTAATTTATTTTAAATTCCATGTCCTTAATGCCTAAAAATAGAAAACCTAAAGGAGCCAAGTTTTGCTTGTTTTATTTTCTTATTGTCAGTTTGCTGAGGATAGGATGGTTTTTTATCGGCGTGCCTGTGTTGAAATTTAAGGGAAGAAAGATGAAGAAAGAAAGAAGAAAAAATAGTGGAATTTTACTATTGTATTTTTGTTTGCCTGTGGTGAACCTTTTCAATGTGGAGCAAGCTTAGTGGTGTTGTATAATAGTGCCGAATGTCATATGCAAGTTTGGTGATGCCAAAAAAATCTTGTGGTGTGAATGGGGAATCTTATTCACGGTTCTTCCGTTTGGTTTTGTTTGAATCTTCTACCTTGCTATCTAGTGCTTTATTATTTTCTCAGAGGAATTTCACTCTACTCTTTCATTTCTGAGTGTGCTGAACTATTTCGACGCTGTGCAAGTGTAGTGGACTAGTGGTGTTTTGCAAGTTTGGTGTTGTAGACTAGCATTGTGGTGGCTAAGGCAATGTTGGTGATGCTAGAAAATTCTTGTTAGTGTGAAAATGAATTGTGTTTAAGGTTTTTTAACATCTTCTCCTTTAAGTTTGGTACTTCGTTATTTGCTCCTTTATTATTTTCCCGAAGCATTGAGGATTTTGAGAAAATTTGATGTGCTCTTCTCTATAATCTTGGAAATGTTTTCTTGTAATCTTATATGAAGCTTTGATGAGATAATCTTGTTGAAGCACATAAATTATCTTCTAAACATAGACAAGATAATCTCATCGAAACACAAATTGTCTTTTATTTTGTGTTTCTTGAACTTTTTATCCTCATCTTCACTATAGCTTTCATAATTATTCTTTTAACAATTGGCATTAAAGCCAACAGTGAGATTCTAAGGAAAAGGTTGTAGAAATTACTGTTGAGGATGGAAAATATTTTAGATACTCAAATACGCAGATAAGTGACTATTTGTATTAGGCGAAACTCCATCTATCTCTCTTGTAGATAAAGTCGGCAGCCATGAACCAAGGGAATTGGAATCTTTTGGACAGTCAAATGTTAAGAGTTCACCTATTACTTAGATGTTGCCTCACACACGCAAACACACATTACATAATGAGATCAATTTTAATTATGCTGTAGGAAATTATAGGGAATTATATTGCCGATGGTGAATCATCAGGTATTGTTTGTGTTGGCGATGTTCAAATCAAAAGCCTTTTAACTATGTAAACACTGATGTTAGGAACCAAGCTAGATGGCATCTTTTGATGGTTCACTTTACTACATCACCTTCATCAATGACTCAACTAGAAAGATATGAGTTTATTTTCTTAAAAATAACTTTGATTTACTTATTTCTTTTAAAATAATGACATGCCTAGTTGAGAATAAGCAGGAAGATAAATTGCTCGAGTAGATAACCGAGGAGAATATAATAACAAGGAGTTCAATGAATTTTGTGCGTCCAGTGGAATACTATTAGGACTTGAGTACTAAAAATTAACGAACAAATAGTAAATTTCAGCAAACCACATAGATTTTCTTGATAAGATAGAAAACACAAGCACACGAGATACAATGGTCCTCTTTCGAGTGGAGGATCTTGTCTCCCAAACTCTAGACGCTGCTAGAATCCCTCAAAAAACAGAGGACCGCAAGAACACTCACAAAATCTGTATGAAGGAAAACATAACACCACAAGGCCTTTTATAGCTCTCCCAAACTTGAATTTACTCCATGTTTTCCCCCCACCTTTTCCTTTGATAAGTGATACATTCCTTTAATTCTCCTCCCTTTCCAACCCCTCATTTAATTCGCCTCCTTTTCTAATCCCCTCATTTAATTCGCCTCCTGTTCCAACTCCCTCATTTAATTCTCCTCCATTTCCAATTCGCTCATTTAATTCTCCTCCCTTTCGAACCACTCCTGGACCCACATCTTTGACCGCCGGTCCATCAATACCCCCTCCCCCTCCCAAAAAAAAAGTGACACCTTGTCCTCAAGGTGGAATAAAGGGAACTGCTGTTGAATAATTTAGTAGGACTCCCACGTGGTTTTGTACTCCGATTGGTTCTTCCACTTGATCAACACTTCTTTACTTCTTGTTATTCCCCGACTTGCTTCTTCAACCTCCAATAGTTCTAAGTTCTAACAACACCTCCATATCATCCGTCAAGGTCGAGGGAAGTGCAGAAAATGGAATGTGCTCTCCTATCACACGTCACAACTGGGACACATGAAACACCGGGTGGATAGCTGACAATGGTGGTAACTGTAGGAGATATGCCACGACACCGATACGTTCCACTATCTTGTAAGGACCAAAATAACGGGGTGATAACTTCTCATTCCTTCTATGTGCCAAGGTTCTCTGCTTGTAGGGTCGAAGCTTCAAGTAAACCCTGCCCCCGCCTCAAACTAAATATCTTTCATGTGTGCATCTGCTTGCATTTTCATAATTTACTGAGCTCTTAGCAAATGTCCCTTCAGCTCCACCAAAATCCTATCTCTGTCTTCCAAATACTGCTTTACTGATGCCACCGGTGTGCTGTCTTGTCTATAATATATCAAGTGAGACGGATCTCTTCCGTATAACACCTTCAATGGTGTTATCTGAGCTATCATATGATAGGAAGTGTTATACCAACACTGCCTATGCCAACATTTTGCCCACAACTTTGGTGTATCCAATACAAAGCATCGAATATAAGTCTCTGCACTACAATTGACCACTTCTGTCTGTCCGTCCGTCTAAGGATGATAAGCAGTGCTCCTTTTTAGAATGGTCATCTGCATCTTGAATAATTCCTTCCAGAACTGGCTCATAAAGATCTTGTCTCGATCGGATATAATCGATTCTAGTATCCCATGTAATCTCACCACCTCATGAAAACCATTGCTACTGATACTGTCGTGTAAGGGCGGCGAAGGGGAATAAAATGAGCATACTTAATTGATCGATCTACCACCACTAGTATCATAGTGTATCCTTCTGACTTTAGCAGTTCTTCAATGAAGTCCATGGTCGTCTCCTCCCACAACTTTTTTGGAAGAGCTAACGATTGTAGAAACCCTCCTGGAGACATGGGTAAATACTTGTGCCTCTGGCATATATCATAGCCAACCACTATCTTCTCGACATCCTTCTACATACCCTCCCAACACAGCTCTGCAGAAAGTCAACGATATGTATTTTTGACCCTCGAATGTCCCCCAATGGCCATCCCATAAAACTCCTGAAGCAAGCAGGGAATGTAAGAAGCAGTCTTTGGAAGCACAAACCGCCCATTATGAAGCAACTTCTGTCCCACCACTGAATATCCCGGATGGCTGACTTTATTTTCCACCAGCTCCTCCCTAATTTTCTATTTTCCTCAACCTGGCATCTTGTTTGTTCTCTCTCCTTAATGCTTCCCAGTCAATCACTAAGGGCACAAATTATGCCATTATCTGGGGCTCCCCCATGCACCTGGATAAACCACCTGTTGCTTTATTTTCAACTCCAGGTCGATACTGAATCTCAAAGTCATAGCCCAATAACTTGGAAAGCCACCTTTGATGATCCTCAGTGACAATACTCTGCTCCAACAAATACTTCAAACTTCTCTAGTCAGTTTTGATGATGAAATGCCTTCCCAATAAATAAGGCTGCCATTTCTGAATGGCTAACACAATCACCATCAACTCCCTCTCATAGACTGACTTAAATTTTGTCCTAGTCTTCAACACCTGGTTGAAATAGGCCACAAGTCTGTGATTCTGCATGAGCACCGCTCGCATCCCAAAACCTGAATCATTGTCTCGACTACAAAAGATTGGCTGAAATCTTGAGAAGCTAAAACTGACATGCTAGTCATAACATTCTTTAACTCCTCAAATGCTTAGGTGGTTGACTCTCCCCAGTTGAAGTTGTTCTTCTCAAGCTGTTTCGTCAACGACCATGCTATGGAACTGTGTCATTTCACAAATTTTTGATAGTAGCCTATGAGTCCCAAGAATCCTCTCAATTCTTTCAAAGTCTTCAGTATGGGCCATTTGAGCATGGCCTCGCTTATTCCGATCAGTTGTCACTTCCTTCTGCGATACCACATGTCCTAAA